AACTATTATTGTGTTGCTAATCAATGTCTTTCTTCAAGTCTATGAGCAGTTGTTTTAAGTATTTTGCTGGTCCCTCATTAGGTGCATATAAATTTAGGAGTTGAATACTTCCTGATGTACAGATTATTTGATCATTAAGAAATGACCTTCACTTTCTCTTGTAACCTTCTTCAGCCTGAAGTCTATGGTTTGATACTAATCTGGCCACCCCAGCTTTTTTGAGGGAGTTATTTGCTTCTAGAATTGTTTTCCATCATTTTACTTTGAGTCTGCGTTTGCTCTGACTGTTCCTATGCATTTCTTGCATGCAACAGATTATTGGGTTCAATTTTCAGATCCATCCAGTCACTGTCTTTTAATTGGTGCATTTAGCCCATTGACATTGAGAGAGATTATTGTTAAGGGGTTTGGTCCTGTGTGGGGCTTGTCTTGTCTTAAAGTAGCCCATTTAATTTTTCCTGTAGCCACGGTTTTGAGTCTATGAAGTTCCTGAGTTGTTTGTCTGTGAAGCTGTGTGTTCTTTCAACTATGAATGAGAGTCTAGCTGGGTAAAGTATCCTTGGTGAGGCATTCATTTCATTGAGTTTTTTTTTTTCACTATACCCCCTACTGTCTTTGGGCATGGAGAGTTTCTTTCTTTCTTTTTTTTTCTTTTTGGGTCACACCTGGAAATGCACAGGGGTTACTCCTGGCTCTGCACTCAGGAATTACTCCTGGTGGTGCTCAGGGGACCATATGGGATGCTAGGAATCGAACCCAAGTTGGCCGCATGCAGGGCAAATGCCCTACCCACTGTGCTATCACTCCAGCCCCTGGGCATGGAGAGTTTCATCAGATAAGTCTGCTAAAAATCTTAAGGATGCTCCTTTGTAAGAAGTTCCCTTCTTAGATCTTGCTGCTTTCAGAATTTTATCTGTATCTATGGTTTTAGTCATTCTGATAAGGATGTATCTTGGAGTATTTTTATTTGGATTGTTTTTAACTGGAACCCTTGGGGCCTCCTGAATCTGTATGCCAGTGTTCTCCAGCTCTAGGAACGTCTCAGCAATGATGTCTTTGACAGTTGCTATTTCATCAGGGTTTTCTTTCTCTCTCTCTGGGACTCCATTGATTCTTATGTTATTCCGCTTGGCTTCATCCCTGTTTTCTCTTGATATCTGTTGGTTTATTTTGAAATTCTTCTCCGTTTTCTCCTGTTATCTGAAGGTTCTCTGCACCTCATCTTGGAGCTCATCGATTCTGTCCTCAGTAACTGTTACTCAGCTGCTAAGGCCTTCCACTGAGTTTTTCATTTCACCTACCAAGTTTTTAGGGTCTGTCTTTTCTGTTTGTATATTTGTTTGCATTTTCCTCACCTCCACTTTTATATCCTCTCATATTTTATCAGCAGTGCATTCCATTGCTTGTTTGAGCTCCTTATGCATCCATCCTTAACAGCTCCATTCTAAATTCCTTATCTGGAAGGTTGTATAGTTCATTATTGCTGTTTGATTCATCTGTGTTAATGACTTCACTCTCTAAGCCTGGTGAGTTTCTGCATTGTTTTACCAATGTGTCCTTTGCATTTTGTAGTTTTTTTCCTGTGTGTTAATGTATGTTTTGGACCCTGCCATTGGGCTGCCTTTGTGTATTACCGTGGGTTATGGATAGGCAAAGAACTGTGAGGCCTGGGTTAACTACTACCTCAAATGTTAGGTATAGATGAAGTAACTTCTTCACACCAATGCTATTGTATCCATGTGGTTTTGTGGTTAAAAGTGTGCATTGGGGGTAGGAAAGGTGGGGGGGCGTATACTGGGGATATTGATGGTGGGGAATGTGCACTGGTGGAGGGATGGGTGTTTGATCATTGTGTGATTTTAACCCAAAAATGAAAGCTTGTGACTATCTCACGGTGATTCAATAAAATTAAAAAATATAAAAAAAGCAAAAAAAAAACTATGCCATGAGAAGGGGATTCACGGACAACCTGAGGGTCCACACACCTGTTTTGAGAAGTTAGATTCGCATATTGGGTGCGACAGCTGGCAGGGGAGGGCAGTTCCTGGGCAAGATGCTGGGAGACAGAGCTTCCCTTCAGGTGAGGGGTCAGGGTTCAGACTTGGGGGTGGGTGTCACTGGCCACTGGGATCCACCGGGTTTGAGAAGTTAGATCGGCGCTTTGGGGGTGACTACTGGCAGGGGAGGGCCTGTATGTATTTTTTAACAACATAATTTCATAAAATAATTGTCATTTGAGTTCTATATAATTGATAGTATAATACAATGAAAAAGGCTACTTTGTAGTAGGATGAGCTTCTATGTTGTTTTATTTGAAAAATTTAAATGAGAGCATCATAATTAGAGGTGAGTTTCATTTGGCATTTTATTTCTGTATACAACTCTCTTGGACATTTGATTAGAGGGGAAATGCTTCACCTTTGAATTTTTTAAAAATAGTATCACAATTGTTAGATACTAGGATTCTAAAAGTTATTATTTTCAGAATAACATTTTCAAAGGTAGTCTCATTTCATTTCATGCCATTGTTTAAGTTGAATATGTGAGAAATATCACTTATGGGAACATTTACAATTCATCATCTGGAGAATGTGATCATTTAGCTCTAAAATATAATATTCTGCATGGCAATGGCATAAGTAAAACATATATCTTCCTACAATTTTCAACTCAGAACAAAAAAATAAAAAAGTAGCAAAGCTTTTAGAGATATCTATTTTTCTGAAATTTTCTTTGTTTATTGGGTAGATAAGGGGAACAAACTGACAATATGTTTTTCACATACAAGTATTTTATATAAAGAGTTTATATATAATTTATAATATACAATTATGTAATATATAATATATAAAATATGGTCATTTGTTTGGTCAGAGATGTTTGGAAATATGGATTTATGTCCCTACTGTTACGTACTCTGTGTGCAGTTAGTAAATACCTTGTTACTTCTTATCTGTTCCTCATCTATTGAAGAGGGATTATCATATCTGCTTCACCTGAACCACTGTAATGTTAAGAAATGTCTGTCCACACTGTCCTCCTGTTGTTCATCAATTTGCTCGAGTGGGCCCAGTAACGTCTCCATTTTGAGACTTGTTGTTACTGTGTTTGGCATATTGAATACATCACGGGTAGCTTGCCAGGCTTTGCCGTGCGAGCGAGATACTCTTAGTAGCTTGCCGGGCTCTCCGTGCGGGCTGTGAGCAAGGCAAATGCCCTTCTGCTGTGCAAGAAAAATAAGATGAATAAAAGTACTTAATGGACTCAAGAACCCTTTGAAATGGAAATTCTACATATTTATGTAATGCACATTTCTGGCCTATATACACATATAATAAAATTATATGTATATATGTATATAGTTATATTGTTTCTTATTCCTCCGCCCCTCTCAGAGAGCCCGGCAAGCTACCGAGAGTATCTCGCCCGCACGGTGGAGCCTGGCAAGCTACCCGTGACGTATTCTATACGTCAAACACTGTAACAACAAGTCTCATGATGGAGACGTTACTGGGCCCGCTCGAGCAAATCGATGAACAACGGGAAGACCGTGATAAATGTTGTATATATTGTATATAATATATTGGGTCTGAAATCAGGGGGATTTTCATTCTCTCTGACAATCTAAAAATAGATGGCTGAAGTAGATGAAAGTCCAAGTCATCTGTTTAGTGTGCTGTAGTCTACCCAATCCAATGGGTCCCTGAGATATTTGCCTCTTGTATGTGATCCTTAATTGTCTTCAAATAAAGATAATACCATCCGTCATGGAAACCAAATAATATGACTAATAGGAGATTAATTTACAATGCATGAAAAGATGAATGCTTTTTTAGATAAAGATACATTTAGAAACGATATTTCTATAACTGCTAATAGAAATCTAAGACAAATTGTGTACAGTTCTACCACTGAGACAAATTTGTCAATATGACCTTTTAGAGGTTATATGTACTTTTTCAGTTTAATATATTTTCATTAATATTTTAAACATGTTAAACTGATATTCCATATTTTATGTGTTATCCATGAGTCTTTTTTTTGCATTTCTTTTCTTTGTATCCCTGCCCCTTAGTGGTAATGAGTATACTAAACTTTGGTTAACAGCACTAGTTCTCAATAGTCATATAAATTGCAGGACTTGGTTCTTGTATTTAAAGACAATAATAAACTTATTTATTTTGTATATTAATTAACTTTAAAAACATGATCAACACTTATCTATCACTTTTTAGATCAGTAGGTAAAGAGTGAACTTTTTTTTATTGAATCACTGTAGATATAGTTACAAACTTTCATGTTTGGGGTACAATCACACAATGATCAAACACCCATCCCTCCACCAGTGCACATTCCCCACCACCTTTAATATCTAAAATATTTCATCATATGAGTAGAGCACAGTTGATCCAATCATTCCTCTATTAGTGGACATTCATGACACTCCGAGATTTTGCCACTATAGATAATGATGTAATAGACATCTTTTTACATAAGTCCTATGAACATGCATTTTTATTTCTATGAAAAAGATTCTACTTGGCATTTACAAATTGTAATTTTTAACTAAAGCAGAAGCTGTATACTCAAATGGAGAATTGACAGTTATTTGGGTAAGTGATGCATAAAATATACTCATTTAAACATTCATAAGTTGTTGATGAAAAGAAGGTTTTTGCCCCTTTCAAATTATCTTGCAAATTGTCATGGTTACATTTTTGCTTTAAGGGTATAGGCAACAGAAATTATTACAGAAATAATATTATTATTATTATAGTAATTATTACAGTAATAATATCATTACAGAAATCTGACTTGATGGTAAATTCCCAACATAGATTTAAATGAATGGGTTTCATAACAGTGAATTATTCACATGTTCACAAATATCTGTCTAATTTTTCTCAATGTCTCACAAAATATCAATTCCTTTACTATTATCTCTTTTTACTTTTCCCTCTCCATATGGTCGCTTATTTTTGCCTACCTTCCATCATAAGTGAAAAGAAGAAAGTGAAACAACCCAGGACCTTGATCACTGAAGATGGAAAAGTCCTGAATGTAAATGAACCTAAGTATGTGAGGCGAAATAGAAACTGGATGAAGCAAAACTTGTGGTGTTGGTCATTTCAATCGTTTCAGTTGTAGTTTTGCTCTGCAGAGAATATATCTGACCACTCTAAGTATGATGAGCTTTAGAATGTCATTTTGCACATATCTAAAAGCCAAACATCTATGCCATTTTCACATATGTAATCTTAATTAAATTTTCTTAGCATATAGAAAATGACTTTGACATATGGAAATCTTACCTATTTATGTATTCTCTGAAATTCTGGACCATGCATAATCTCATAATATTGATAATTACATAGTTATCTGATTATATAATTGCCAATGCAATTTTTTTTGTTTCTTAGTTTTTAGACAACCATGATTAAACTAGCTGAGAATACTGATATATCTCTTATGCCTCTGCCACACATGTACAAAGCGTTCTAATATTAAGGAAAGTAATTGATCTCATTACTTCAATGCGGTTAATGAGAAAAAAAATATTCAGACTGGCAGTAACCCAGTAGAGTAATATCTATCTACTCTAACTGGCAGTCTTAATTTTTTAAACTTAGAAGCAGATCAAAAAGGCCATTGATAAACAAAATACAACCCCAATAAACTATGAAGTAAATCCTGGCTGCTACTCAAATTCTCAGTAGTTTCACTATTTAATTTGCTATGCCATTCCATGATAAAGGTACAAAGTTAGAACCTGTAGAAAAAATATATATATACTGCCTACTTGTGACTACCATGAAGATAACATGAATGATGCCTGGTTTCTATTCTGCTCACCAGGAAAGCATTCCAAGACCTAGTGGTTGCCTGAAACCACAAAGTTAGTTAGTCAGTGCCTTTGTCTTTGTAAGGCATAGCCAGTTTTGGAAAATTTGATATTTTAATGGGTCTTTGTCACTCCCATACACATGCATTATCATCTTTCAACTTAAAAGGAAATAAAACCAAGACATATCTTTTCCCCCAATTTTCATTACGGTTATAGCCCTATTTATCTACTCCTATCCTGGAACTCTTTAAGTCACATATTTTCTGGATTCTAAGCTCACCACATTTCAATATTCAGTAACATTATTTCAAATATCTCTCCCTATCTTCTTTTTTTTTTTTGGCTTTTTTGGGTCACACCCAGCTATGCACAGGGGTTACTCCTGGCTCATGGACTCAGGCATTACTCCTGGCGGTGCTCGGGGGACCATATGGGATGCTGGGAATCGAACCCGGGTCGGCTGTGTGTAAGGCAAACACCCTACCCGCTATGCTATCGCTCCAGCCCCTCTCCCTATCTTCTTATCCTAGTAGATTTGGTCAAATGAGTCCTTATATTCCTCCTTAAAGCACTTTTTTTCTTTTGCTTCTCTAATTCTTCAAACTCCCTACCTGTTCTGCTTGTCTTATGATTGGCTCATTTGTTTTTGCCTTATCTCCTAAATATTCTGGAGAAAACTTCTAGGTTGTCTTCTCTTTTCACATTCACTCTTCAGTGATCTCACCTGATCTTTAAGTTTTCTTACCTAATCTTTATCTCATCTAATCTTTGTGTTATTTTCAAAGTGATCACAATGAGCTACATACTATCATATACATACAATCACAATGAGATACATACTACTTCTCTGATTCAAGATTAGTATATTTATTTAGCTATATATACCACAATGGAAATATAAAACATGTCAAATTCAGTGACTAAAACAAATTCTAATTTCTATCATCAGTGTGGTTTTCATTGAAAACACAATTATCTCTCAGTACTTAGCAATAAGCATCCACTCATTTTATAAGATTAAAAACCCTGGCTTCATTCTTGATTCATATATTTTCAGTGAATCCTACAACTCCTTCTTCTATATTACCAGGTTATATTTCTTTTTTTTTCTTAAAAGCCAACTATTATATTTAGTTTTTTTAAATCGAATCATCATGAGATATAGTTACAAACTTTAATGATTGAATTTCAGTCATACAATGATCAAACATTTATCCCTCCACCAGTGTACATTTCCCACCATCAATGTCCCCAGTATCCCTCCCACAACCTCCACCCCATCCACCCCCTGCCTTTATGGCAGGCAACTTTCCTTTTTATCCTCTCTCTCTACTTTTGGGCATTATGGCATGCAATACAGATACTACGAGGTTATCACATTTGGTCCTTTGTCTACTTTCAGCACACATCTCCCTGCTCATATCTCTTATTCATTCCATCATTGCCACATTGAGTCAGTTAACGTTTCCCTGGACAATTGAAATAGCGTGTTAAATGATCTCTATAATTCATCTCTTTGTCTCCTATAATATAGTCTCTTCTCAGCAGAATAAAGGAGAAGGTAGGAGAAAAATGCACAAGCATTTCTTCCTTTATTTCTTCATTTTTCCTTCCTTTTCTTCCCTCCTTCCTTTGTTTCTTCTGTCCTCTCTTTTCCCTCCCTCCCTCCCTCCCTCCCTCCCTCCCTCCCTCCCTCCCTTCCTTCCTTCCTTCCTTCCTTCCTTCCTTCCTTTTTTCCTTCCTTCCTTCCTTCCTTCCTTCCTTCCTTCCTTCCTTCCTTCCTTCCTTCCTTCTTTCCTTCCTCCCTTCCTTCCTCCATTTCTCTCTACCATTGTCTCTTCCTTTCTCCCTTCTCTCTTTTTCTCTTTCTCTGTCTCCTCTTTCTCTTCTCTCTCTCTTTCTCTCTCTCCTTCTCTTCCTCTCTTTTTCTTTCTCACTCTCTTACTTTCTCTCACTCTTTTCTCTTTCTTTCTTTCTCTCTCTCAACACCCAGCAGCTCTCAGGGCTTACTGCTGGCTGTGCTCAGGGATCACTTTTGGTGGTGTTAAGGAGATCAAATGGAGTGCTGGGGATAGCTGCTTGCAACACAAGTGTCTTAACCCCTGTAATATCTCTCCATGCCCTTTCCTTAAGGAATTTTTCTGAAAAAAATCACCATGTAACACACTATTTCACAAAACTTAATCACAGGACCTTGTCTATCAGAAAAAAAGGTTAGATATTTTCTCCGTTCTGTGTACATGTGCCTGGTTAAAGTTAGGTTTTTATTATTGTGTATATGAATAAAGAGAAAATTGTGAGGAATGAATTACAGTCAATGCCACAGCAAACACTTCTGTAATACTTTTAAGTTCTATGTGATGCGAGAGTTGAAAATGCCTAGCTGGAAAAGTGGGGAAGGAGTAATCAAGGCAGAGAGTACAACATATAAAATTGCTCCTGAATTGAGTTCAAGAACACATGGGTCATTTGAACAACTGAAGAAACTCCGTTTAGAAGATTCCTGACAGCCAAATCTACAGCTAATTTAACATTTTTTCCAAGCACCTTATCTTATGTACTTTAATATCAGTGTGTTATACATTTTACATTATAGTACTATAATTGAAGTGCTCAAAAATCAACCAATTAATTCGGAATAGTATGTAGACAGTATGGAAATGGTACTTCATCTTGGGATATAGTTGAATGACTTAGGACTTACTCTCCAAACTTATTAGCTTCTCCTGAAGGTATCAGTCTTTCTGAGCTGCTCTGTCTCTTCATTCTGTATAATGGAAGTGGTACAGTATGAGCAGGGCCATCAGCATTTACAGATCTATGGAAAGAGAAAAATAAAGAGAGTAGAGAAAGATCACAAAGAAGATAGCGAGGAAAAGGAACAAATACAGCAATGTTTCAAATTTAAGGAAAAAGAGTATTGGCTAAGGGGAAGCAAATACAGCATTTAGTTCTACATAAATATAGTTTAGTGCTTTAGCATGCTTGAATAAAATGTAAAACAAAACTTTAACCACCAGATGTCTCTGTCTATGCACCAAAGCAAAACTTTTGTGTATAATTTTAGCATTTTCACATCTGAACAATGTGAAAAGGACTATTATTTTAATACACTGGATTTTTTAAAAATTTGAAATTAACATAGACATTTTTATTGTTCAGTTACCAAGATAAGTTTCTTACTAGCATTATAGAACTATTATCTGATTAACATGATTACATGATGGTATTATCTATTCTATTGCTCAAGATACCACCCTTTTTTTTTTCTAAAAAAAAATGAATTATCCTTTAGATTGGACTTCTCTTTGAATGATGATGAAAAACATCACCAGATCATCCTGGACCTGGCTGTCTATAGGTAAAGGCCTTTCATCATGTGTTTATATAATGGTGGTTTTGTCTCCATTTTCAGTTGCATTCTCTTGAGTTCTGAACATTTTGAGATGGAATTTGTTGTGTCATGTAGCTAAGTGAAAAAAAAAGCTCTTTTATTAAGACAATTTATTATGATGTTTTAAATCACATCTAGTGCATATACTGCCAAAACAAGCACTTAAATCACAATTTAAGTGAAAGAGAAAGTAAATAACAAAACAGTTCCAAGGTTGTGAACTCAAGGATGTCTGTTCTGGGCAGTGTTTAAATAATTCCCAGGCATTAGTTCTCCCGCTCCTGACATCCCTAGAGAGCCACCTCAGCCTGCTTTTGCTGACTTCATTGCCTCTGTTTCAGCCCCGTGCTGCCCTTTCTGTTGTTTTCCACTTAAAAATATGCTCTGTTAAGTGCTTTGAAGATCTTCATTTTTAGGCCCTATTCTTGGAGTTTTATTAATATGTAGCATTTGTCCCTATTAAGTCTCTTGTCTGCCTCATGTCCAATCATCACCCCATACATACATGTTTTCAGGGATATACCTATGTTTCTCCTGTCACATAGTAAAATTCTTTCATTTCCATTATTCTGTTTAAATTGTTCATCGATTTGCTCAAAGTGGGCCCAGTAACGTCTCCATTGGAGACTTTGTTGTTACTGTGTTTGACGTATCGGATACATACATCACGGGTAGCTTGCCAGGCTCTGCTGTGCAGGCAAGATACTCTTGGTAGCTTGCCGGGCTCTCAGAGAGGGGCGGAGGAATCGAACTCGGGTTGGCCATGTTTGCTGCGTGCAAGGCAAACGCCCTACCACTGTGCTAATTCCTCATCACTTCATTGGTATATATGAAAGTGAAGAACCTTATGCTTCCTGCTTTTATTCAGCACATAGCTATAGAATGCCAACTACATTCCAGGCACTGGGAGGTGTAACTGGCATGTTTTAAATATTTTCACTGGTTTCCTGGGGCTATTGACCCAGTTGGGGAGACAGAAATCTTAGAAGTAATTGCAAAGGGAGAAGAGTGCTGAGCAAGAAAGAAACAGATTTAGGCATGGAGAACCATGTTGTGAAGAGTGTTGTGGCTACTGATAAGGAAAGAGATGACGGGAAGAGTTGTTGACATGAGCAGCACAAAATTGAGGGATGAGAAGTAACATGCTTTGTGAAGGCTGGGAGAATATTGTCATTGGGCAGAGTTAAATAGCTCAAGCAGAGATATTATAGTCCGGGGCAGATGTACTGTAGAAGACACTAAGCATGGGAAGGAATATGAAATCCATTAAATGGGTGGATACTAAACTTGATTTTGTAGGAAGCCTAGACTCTACTTTTCGTTTTTAGCTTATTAAATTTATGAAAAAATGTGAAAGTGTTTAACATTATATATTAGGACCTTTGTAGGTACCTTTGTGGCAAATTTTAGGGGTTAAACATTATTAATATCCTCACTTTACACATGAGGAAACAAAGAGATCAAGAAACATGATCCAGGATAATAAAGCAGAAATGGGATTCATCACCTCTCAAATCTCTGTGATTGAAACCTGAGCCCACATAACCCAAGTTTTATATCTTACCTGCCTTAATGTTTAAATCATCTCTGCATTTTTAATATTCCTGACAAATATGTAAAAACATGATCACAATTATTTGGATAAGCTTCTTGTTTTAATAAATCAGGTTGGAACTTTTAAATGCATGTTTAGCCCAGAGACTTAAATGCCACTTGGGCCTTTGCACTACAATAGGTGAAAGGTTTTGCTTATTCTGCATGATGTGCTTTCAAGGAGTGAAGTAAACCTAGTCTTCCAAAAGAGATGCTTGCAGGGCAGCTGCAGAACAGCTGTCGGGGATGGAGAGTAGCTAAGAAAGCAGTTGCTGGTAGTTGCAGACCCCACGCTTAGTGGATTCAGCATTCCTGGTTATTCAAGTCAGTCTTAGGGGCTTAAAATAAATATTCATGAAAGAACATGGCAAGCAGTTTTTTGCAAACCTCTGATGTTTCAGTCCTTAGATATTTTGGTGGTAGGGGCAATCAATGCCAAGTGTACTTGTGGGTCTAAATATGAAATTGCTGATATATTGAATTTCTTTGGGTCTGGGGATTAATTTAGCACTAATTTTTAAAGACCTGTTTAGCATGGAGATTTTAAACTGTCATCATTTAAAGTGGCTCTCAAGTTTGAATTTGCATTTGTCCTTTAAAGGATGTTTTTAAGATGATAAGATGACATGTTTTATTTTGAAGGTATATGGATACTTCGTTAATTGATGTTGATGTGCAGCCAACTTATGTTCGGGTAATGGTTAAAGGAAAGGTAAGGATAGCCCTTTGAATGTTAAAAGTTAACCTTTGTACCAAGAGAAATTGCCTCAAAATATTTAAAGTAGTATTAAACTACGGAATTACAATTAGAGAATCATTTTTAGGCTCAAGGTTTTATGTCTTTATGTCAAGGTATACAATGAGAGAGACTGCTAATTTGTGTGTAGCTTGGTAAAATGAGCAATTTCTTTTTACCTAGTCTATTGTATAGGTAATATTTTCAAAGCTGATAAGATGATAAAATATACAGTAGGCTGTTGTTGATAAAATAGATTTTAAAAATCTATTCCAGTGTGTTTGTAGTGTTTTCTGTTTTTCTTTCCTTTATTAGGGGGTGGGGGTGGGGATTGAGCCACTCCTGGCTGTATTATGTGCTTACTCTTGACTCTGCACTCAGGGATCACCCCCAGTGGGCTCAGGGTACCATATGGGGAGCCTTGGGTCAAATCTGAACCAGCCTCATGCAAGGCAAGCTCCTTGCCTGCTGTACCATCTCTCCAGCGCCGATACTAGCAGTATTTTCAAAGCTGATAAAACCATAATAATATATGTGTTAGATCATGGATGAAATTATGTTTAGACAATATACTCATTTAAAATTATCAATGAGACCCAGTAGATAACTCAAATGGAGTGGAGTGCACACTTTACGTGTGTTGAAAGCTCAAAGTCCTTGACACTCCTTGGAGCCCCAAGAACTGCCTATAATCCTGGTGTCCCATGAACACTGCTAGGTGTGTTCTTGCTGGTCCTCAGCACCACTGGATCTGAGCAGCACTGTATCCCCCACCGTCAGACCAGCACCACCATGGTCTTGAAGGCCCTGGGTACTGTTAGGATGTTTTTATTAAGTAACATTTAAAAAATTACCAATGATTTCATTCATAAGAATTTTTCTCTATCATGTTTGAAATACGACATTTTTGCTGACTCTGAGAATTAGAGACAGCTTGAACATTTAAAATGTAAATATGTTGGTATTCTGTGACAAGAAATTTTATTTCTGAATTACTTTTCGGTCATTTTACATAAATGGACAAGTGTTGTTTCCTTGTTACTGATGACTGTTTTTAGACTATTCATTAGAATGAGTAAAACATAAAAGTCTTGGGGCTGGAGTAATAGTACAACAGGGAGGACGTTTGCCTTGTACGTGGTCAACCCGGGTTCGACTCCCAGCACCCCATATGGTCCCCCGAGCACTGCCAGGAGTAATTCCTGAGTGCAGAGTCAGGAGTAACCCCTGAGCATTGCCAGGTGTGACCCAAAAAGCAAACAAAACAAAACAAAAGATAAAAATCTTGAAATAATATGAAACTATCCAGAATGCAAGGCTTTCTCTGTAATAACACCAAGATTAACATTCATGTATGCAGAGAACTCCTGGCCAAGGAAATTTGGAGGAATTTTATATAACCTTCTCCCAAAGCAATTTCCTGTTTGTCCCCTTTCTAGAGAAGCCTGTGTCCCTCTTTAAACACATTTCTCTTTTTCTCCTCTGACATCTCAATAAATTTCTTAAAATAAAAACTATATTGTTTTATTGCTTATTGGTTCACTAAAAAATGTAGGTAAGATAATTAACACATATCATGTATAAACCATTCATTTTCCCTGCTAAATCCAAACATGCTTTTTTATTGAATGGCATTTCTCAGAGACTATTTCCAGTTCTATGTTTGGGGTCATTTCCAGCTATGTTTGGGAGACCATGTGACACTGAAGTTCAAACCTGGGTCTACTGCATATGAAATATCAGCTCAGCCCATTAAGCCTTTTTTCCCCTTTATCCTGTGAATGTTGTATCTTAAATTTGTAAATCCTTCATTGTACATGAGGTAGCCCTCTCATGTACTGGACACTCACTCTTTATAACATTTTATTTGCTTCAGCCATTTCAGCTTGTCCTTCCTGCAGAAGTCAAACCTGATAGTAGCTCTGCCAAAAGATCTCAGACAACAGGACACTTGATAGTCTGCATGCCTAAGGTAGGTAATATTATCTGGATCCTTTCAAGTTTGGATGTGTTGGTTCTTGAAGGAACCAGTCCTGTCAAACCTAAGGATGATGGTCAAAAGAACCAAGAAAACTACTCATGCCAGCTTGGATTAGAAAACAAAGGCTTGTGGGAACAAAAATAAAGTCAGGGACCCCATAAAGGGGTCTATTCTACCATTATGTCACCAGCTCTTGTCTCTGTGGCTTTCTATAGCTCCAAGCTAGGAGTTGTAGTGTGTTAGTCAGATGGTTCTTCCAAATGGAACACATATCATGGAGTGTATCTGCTTTTTGGCGATTAATAGTTTCTTTACAAATAAATTGAAAGGAAACAGTATATCTTGCATCTCTAAAAAAATTGTGTTGATTCTAAATATTTTGCTTACTCTATTCATGACTTTGGATATTCCTAGGTCTCTGTTTTCTGCTATTGTTGTTAAAAAAGATAATGCATATAAAATTCATAGAATGGCAAATGTGCAGTGGATGTTGCTAATATTTTATGATACATAAAAGGTACTATTTTAAATAAATATCCTTTGTGTTTGTGTATATATGTGTAGTAGTAGTATTACTACTACTTGTAGTAAATAGAAGTGTACTACTAGTGTACATAAGTATATGTGTACTAACTGATAGTAAACTAATTTGATTCAGTTCCATTCAGTAGAAATGTTGAGTGTCTACACAGCAGTTTCTGATCTAAGAAAAGTCAATTCTTTAATGAGTTTACATAATCTAGTAGAGTAAAAAAGAGATTAACAGATAACTGTTCTGTAACAAAAATAATAATTTATGGCATTTCTAAGCTAGTAAAGTTTCATTTTAATTTGGTAAAGAAGTAATGTAGTACAATGATCTTATTAAGGAGATGAGACTGTGATACAAGGAATAATTGAAAAACCCATATAAAACAGGAGGAAAGCTGGAGGCATATTCTGTGAATAGGAGTGGTTCCTTGTGATTGTAGCATATGACAAACCTACTAATGTGGAAGATAGAAGAACTCTGATGGTACCCAGGAGGAAAATTTTAGGTGGACTTAGGTGTAAATTTCGTACTTTATACAACTCTGAATTGGGATGAATTATGGAAACCAAAAAGACAATTTACTGACTAAAGTGTATATCATTTACAAGACAAACATGATCAAAGTATGTATTATAATTTAATGAACATATATATTAGAAGTCAGGCATTATCCTAAATACTGAATTAATCAATGTCTGTACTCAAGATACTTAATTAAAAGGTGGGCGGACTAGGCCCACATAAATGAAATTATTTCTCAGTGTGAAGGTATAATTAAAATTAGATCTGAATGATAAGAGTTATCTCAATGCACAAATATGGTATGAAGAACGAGCATACTGAAAAAGAACAGCAAGTAAAAAGAATCTATGGTGGGAATGAGGTAACAGTATTGCCGGTGCTGAAAAAAATTAACTATACTATTCAGAATATAGTGAGACAAGGAGAAAATGGAAGAAAGCAGTAGCACAAGCAGCAGCTACCTCAAACTGAGACTTCTGGGTTTTTAACGGATTGAATGTTATTCCAAATTTAGGGAAAACCCTAAATAATTGGTTTATGTACTAAACTAGTAGCATTTAATTCTAATTTGATAAGGAAGAAATGTAGGGCAATTATCTTGTAAGGAGATGAGACTGTGATACGGGGAAGAATAGAAAGCCCATAGAGCAGAGGAGGAAAGCCGGAGGCATATTCTGTGAATAAAAGCCCCTTGTGATTTCAACAAGGACATGAAATATCTGATTTATGTTTTTGAAAGTTCATTTTGGCGTCTGTGTGGAGACATCAAAAGTAGTAATAATAGAATCGGAGAGATGTATGAAGAACTCCAGTTTGAAGAGGAAACTGACTTAGACAAGAATAGAGGTGAGGGCAGCTGAAGAGCAAGTAAAGCAAGTGAGGCATTTGCCTTGCACATAGCCAACCCTGTTCAATCCCTGATCCCCATCAGGAGTTATCTCTGGATAACCTGAAAGTTATCCCACAGTAAGCCCTAACCATCTCCAGGTGTGACCCTAACCACACATGTGCACATGCACTCACACACACACACACACACTCACACACACTCACACACACACACGAGTGGAGGTGGGTGGTTATAAGTAACTGCCTATAAGACATATGTTGTTAGAATCAGAGATAAGTCAAGGATGCCTCCTGATGTTTGATTTGAACTGATGGGTAAATAAATGATGGTGGCCATTTTCTGAGACAGGAAAGAATAAGAGAGAAGCAGATCTTAATGCTTTAAGTTTCAGGTTGCTTGATGTATTCCAATTTGGCATCTCATGCAGACATTTAAATACATAAGTCATGAGGTCTTAAATAAAATTGGATATAATCATCTTGTAGGGAAACTCAACCCGCCCCCCTCCAAGGGGCCGCAGTGAGGACAGCCAGGTGTGGGGGTAGGAGACTCTGCGCTGTTCTCTTCCGGGAGCTGGGTTTTGTAGTCTCTGGGTCTTGGCCATTGGTGGGATTACACGGCGCCAGGGGGTCAGTTGGTGGGTATGACCCCGCCCCAAGCAGAGCTCCAGCAGCCAAAGACCTCCGGAACCAGCCACAACCATGCTGAAACCATGCTCCACACGCATGAAGGTACCGGCAGAGGACCAAAGGCATGCACGTCCCGGGGCTGAGATCTCCAAGCCTGCTAGGATCGGGGCTGAGCATCCTCCACCCAGATCCTCCATCTTCCAGTAGGCAGGGGTCACACCCACCAACTGGCCCCCTGGCACCGTGTAATCCCATCAATGGCCAAGACCCAGAGACTATAAAACCCAGCATCTGGAAGCGCGCAGCCACAATCGCAGCCACGCAGCATCTTATCTCATTCTTGCTTTGGACAACCTGGCATGCTACTGAATGTAACCTGCCCACACTGCAGAGTCTGACAAACTCCCCGTGGTGTACCCAATATGCCAAATACCGGTAACAATGATGGGTGTCATTCTCCTAACTCTGAAAGAGCCTTGAATATGGCACTTTAAAATCTCAGGGCTAGAACGAAGGAGACGTTACTGGGGCCTGCTCGAGGCCATCGACGAACAACAGGATGATTGTGATCGTGATAATCATCTTGTAGATGATGATCATAGTCTTAAACTGAAAATGTTATATTAGGTTAGAGTATAGATGGAGGAGAGAAGAGAGCTCACATTTGAATTGTAGGAGATTCCCTCATTCTGAGATTAAGTAACATAGGAGTCAGAACAGGAGATTGTGAAAGAACAGCTAATGTAGTTAGGAAAAGATAAGTGTGTGTCAATAGAGAGGTCTCAAGTATAAAGCCTTGTTCATGAAATATGGTCACTATATAGGCGGTCACAGAGTTTGACCAAATGCAGCTCATCAGTGAAGTTGAGAAAGTCCTTTCATTGAGTTAGTAAATTGAAAACCAGTTGAATAGACTGGATGAAAGAGAGTAGAATTTCAGTCAGTTATTCAAAGATATTTTGTGGTGAATGGAAGAAAAGAGAAATTAAACAGTGACTGGGGGATATGAGTAATTCAGAGAGGGTTTTTGAGATCAGAGATAACGACACAACTAGAGGAAACATTAGAGAAATTGAATCTTGTACTCATTGGTAGGGAAATAGAGATGAAGGTATAGATTTCACCTCGCTACTGGGTGATAGTCATAGTGGATGACTCTCTTTCTGTGTCTCCCTGTATCTGTGTGTGTGTGTGTGTGTGTGTGTGTGTATGTGTGTGTGTGTGTGAACCCTGACAAGCTTTGGGGACTTTATGTGATAGAGGAACTTGAACCTGTGTCAGCCACATGTAACACAATCGTCTTATCTACTGTGCTATCTGTCTGGCCCTAAAATTTCTATAATGATATAATAAACTTTCATTTGCTCATAGCAAGTTTTGCAGCAGATTTATTAGAGTTAATCAATTATGCATTTTATTGAGCTAATAAAACAGAAAATATAATTTGTTGTCAAGCAATAAAATAACAAACAAACATGACTGTAAGAATCACATTGTCCTTGGTGACAATACCAAATTAAGGAAATGGTTCTGTGCTAATTATAATGTCCTATAGGGAAATCTAAAAAATAAACTGAATTACCTATTTTGATATAGACATTTGTATGACACTATGATGGAAGTTATTAATTTTTTTCAGTTTCCATTCTGATTGAAATGACAGAACTTTAAGCTGCAACTATTATTTGCAAAATAAATTCAAGATATATGATTTATATACCTTTTGCAGGGTGCCAGACAATTATTCAGAAAGTCTTCATTGTCACAGCTTATGAATCTGTTAAATAAATAAAGCATTATGCATCCATTATCTGTTTTATTTTTATATCTGCCTAAATTTTTAATATTATATACATATAGAAATTATGAAAATATCTTAACATGTATTTCAGAAAAGCTTGGGTTGAAGATGAGATAATTCATATAGAAAGATTCAGAATGATTCTATTTTTTCTCAGTAGTAAACTAAAAGCATTTTTCCTTTGAGGTATGTAGATATATAATATATATGTAGATATATGTGTACATATATATATGCACATGCTAAGATCTATAGACTACTTTTTCAAAATGACATTTATATCTAATTTATTTACATCATTCCCTTTTCACTTGCATTTGAAAGACCATTTTTATCCCATTGACCAATTTCCTTTTGCTCTGCTTCAATGAATTTCTTCTCTCTGCATTTTATGCTGGAAAACATTCTAAAATATTTCCCTTCTTAAAAAAGAGCACAAGATATTAAAAATGTTTATTGCTCTGATCTTATTTGTATCAAGACACTTAAAAATAGGCACCTATGTTTACTATCAAATCTTATAATCTCTAAAACCACCATCAATTTGGCATATATCTTCTCTCCAAGCCCCTCCAGGGAATCCTTCATTTTTGAGATCTCTAACATTCTCTACATGACTAAATAAAGCAGTCAGAACTCTTTTTTAAAAAATTTAAT